CATTAAAGCGGAGCAGATGCTTTTAATCCGCGATAAAAATAAATCGTTTTCCATTTTGTATGCGCATTTATCATAGTTATTTCAAAATGCCGCCTATTTGTGTTATTGTCAGCACAACTGATTTTATTTATCGTGTAACACTATGAAAACAGAAAAGTGGCAAACAAACTAAATACTAGTGGTAAATGTACAAAATTGGTATTTTGGACATATTTTGGATAGATATTAAATCAATTTTAAGTTGAGAGAGAGTGTATTAATTTGAATGAATTCAATCAATACGCCTAATTAGTAATTACACACTTAATTTCATCGATGCTCATAGGCTATTAAACTAACGAATACTATAATTTAAATCCTTATCAATTTCTATGAATTCTTTTATATAAACGGATTATTTAAATAGAAACAATCTTTAAAAAATAACATACAAGAGAGATTTATATCAATATTAATAATGTGTAATTAGAAAATAAATGTAAACATTTGCAATGCAGCATGGAAATTACAGTGTTACATAAATTATATTGTTTAAAATGGCGAAAAAGTGTATAAATATATTGTTTCTTTTTTAAATTAAAGCATATTAGTCTGATGTTAAAATCCACACACAAACATATATTATTAATTATTATATCATTGTTGACCTCGTTTTATTCTCTTGATATGTCCACGTAATATAAAGTATTATTTGTTATATATTTTAAAATGTCCGTACCTTTATTTTATTATCATTATTTGTTTTGTAACGCAAAGTACTGCACACTGCATGTTAAAATCGCGAATATGTTAAAAATGAAAACTCTATGAATAGATGCGTCGTCCGCAACATGTACTTGTATTTTTTCCTTGTTTATTATTTAATCTATTCCATTATGGGCGAATTTATTACAGGGAGAATCAATTTCCTTCCATAATTGCTAACATGACGAGAAGAAACTGGGGCATGCGTAAAATCAAAATGAATCTATATTTTTAAGTATTTATAGTATTTGATATATTGATGCTCATTATCAGTACTGGCGGTTTAATTGGATTTAATTTGCTTCACACAACATTAAAAAACACATTACAGGAGTAGGATTAAATACAGATTACTTATACGACTTTAACATTCTCAGCAGAACGAGAAAAGCTAAATATTAAATATTTCTTAAAAAAACATTTGAAATATTCTAAAATCTTTAGCGTACATTTCTCAGAAGAAAAAGATACGGGGGTATATTATTGCCTTCGGTGACAGTACTTCGAAAGAAGGTCTCGATTGTGTTCAATAGCTTTTACGGTACAGAGGAAAACGAAAATCATTTTAGAACGGAGAGGAAGCTGACACATTTGCCTGAAGTATATATTGCGAGTCCCTCCCGATATATCTCGAACGATTCTACGTTCAACAATTCAGGAATGTCCCCTACGTGTATCTCTGCGTGAATCCACAAAACCGAGTGCTTTATGGCGATATTCAAATTTCATTGATACCTAAAATCTGTACGGGTTTCGAGGTATTTGGGACGCGAAAATTCTAAACATGCACTGAAACAATGTTCTTGGTCTTGGTTTCTGCGACTTGGCCATTGTAGCGTCGTAATTGTTCTTCGAGAAGGCGAATATTCTAACAACGCGGACAACTTTAACTATTCGTGACAACATCGCGATCTTGGAACGATCCGGATGTTAACATCTTGGTAATCTGCACGAGACGTAGGTAAATCGCGGGGAATGTTATGCGAAACTTGCGCCGCCCCTTCGCAACTAACAATCTCATTCTGGGATAAATTTGGCGAGTATATAAACAGCAACAACACTTCCAATTATCGTATCGTAATTTGTCGGGGTATATCTCATATAGGAAGCTCGTATAGGTCTTAGTGAGATGCTCGCATATCGAATACGCCGCGGGGAATAAAACTTTACGAGTCGCTCTGCACACGCCAGCCACAACCTATATTGATCGGTTCATTCAATCGGAATTCACGAAACAGAGCAAAACGCATGACAGGAGTGAACGTCGAAGTTGAGTTTTCAATATTTTACACGTCGTTGGGAACGTAAAAAAATACTTTTCCGCGCATTAATTTTTCTTTTTATAACAAAATAATTTTACCAATACACAAGAAGAGGCCAATAAAAGAAAAAAATTCCGCAAAAGGACTCAAACCCGAAGTCGAAATAACGTTTGTAAACGATTTGTATATATATATATATATATATATACCAACATTCTAATTGTTTGCGAATTGTATCCTTTTATGAATATATAATATACTGGTAATATTATAATATAATTGCGAAGTCTTATAGCTACATACATATTGAACTTATTCTTGGAGCCACAAACTAATTTTGTTTTGTTTAAAATAATTTTGATTTCTTTTGAGATCTATCTATATGATATTTAGTTTTATAATATAATAGTAAGATCAACAGTATTACGTACATAACATAACTTTAACCAACTGCATTATTAGAAAATAGGAAAAAATGTAATAGGAGGGTATTTTCCGTTATAGACGTTGTTATAACCTGATAATGAGTTGACCGGAAGATAAAGCTTTTCGCATCAGCCACCGGACAAAATTGCGATGAACGAATGGCACTTTATCTAAATACAACAACCGAGTGTTTGCGCGTGCAAGCCGTAAATAATGCCACAAAAGGGGGACAAGGGGTTTCTTAAGTACGGTATTACGTGCAGTAAATACATAGCGCGCACGCCTGGCGCGGCACGGTATGGCATTTGGTGTAGTACGCGAGATACGCGCGTTCACACATGTACGAGGTGGGGGGGGGGGGGGGGGGGGGGAGGAGGAGGAGGCTGAAGGAGAGAAGGATGCATGCACACGGGGGTGTCTTTTCTGGGTCACCCTCTCCATTATCAAAGAATCCCGGGTCTGCCTATGATACACGGAAAATGAACGTAACCTGGGCGCTAAGAGGGTAAAGAATTTAACTCTTGTAGACAACGACGCCACGGTGTAGCTCCGCAAATGGTTAAAAATGCATACATGTCGCTTTTAATAGGGAAACGAGACCGGCGGAGCGATCGAGTATTACACGATTTTTTTTTACATGAAGCTAAGAAAAAGACATGGAACGAGCGCGAAATAGTCTTGTAGCAAGATTTAAGACAATAATATGATCGATAAATTGCACTGCCAATAATTTTTCGCCATGAAATGAAAGCACACTTCACTTAAATGTAATATAAAAATATCGATAAAATCAAATACGACAGCTGCAGTAATTTTTTTTCTGCGCAAATAATCGCCAAGCTATATTTCCTGCAATGGTTGCAGCGCAAAATATATGAAATATTCTGTCAAATTAAATTTCGAATAACCATTGATTCGATTGCCGGCTTCTCCCCTGGGATTGCTCGCGGAATTTTATCGTGCTAATATTAATATTAAATAAAATATGGGGGGGGAGAGAGAGAGAGAGAGAGAGAGAGAGAGAGAGATAAAAATAGACGCAATTCGATCTCGTGTAACTCGTTAATTTGCAAAAGCGATGCGAAACGTTACTATTTTTGAAATGGAAACGGTCAAATGACCGTTCCAGTGTTTTTAAAGCTCTTGCTAAAAGGTACATTTTACTTTATTACTTATAGAAAGTCACTGTGGAGAAAAAGAAGCGAAGAAGGAGATCGCGGACTGTCGATACAACTTATCCGCAATCTTTCTCAAACTGATTGCTAAGGGCACATTGCCCCGCAGGGACTGCAGTAGCGTGCAGTAGCCAAGAGGGAAGCAAAATATAGAATGGAGTGGAGGCCGTTCTCTTTGTTTTCTGTGTTTATCTCGACGGTTCGTGCGAAGAGAAACTAAGCGAAATGCATTAGCGCCTTTTGCTTTGTGGAAGAATTCTGTAATAATATGTATATGAACAATTCTCCGCTGAGAGTTTTAACGATTAAGAAAAAAGGAAAGTACATCCAGAGGGTACATCCTTCTTTTTTCCAAAAACAGATTTCTTTTTCCTAAAATAGAAATAATTTAGAAACGCAATTCTTTTTAACGCAAAAATTGTGTTAGAGTATATTAAGTAGATAATAAATCAAATTTTTAGTTGAGAGAGAGTGATTATTTAGTTAAGGGATAATGCACATGCAAAAAAGAAACGAAATATTATTATCGATTGACAATTTGGAAGCTCAGTTTAATTCTGAAAAATAATCTTTAATTCTAAATTTTTTGTAGTTTGTAATGACTGTATTATGTTAATTGTTACTGCAATTTTAATTGCAATATTATTTCAGTTACTTTAATTTATTAATTTAATAATATCTGTGTGTTTCTCACTAACATTGATGTTATAATATTAGGTGTAGTAAAAAGAAATCCATTATTTTTCCAATAGATGGCTTTAGTAATCTGTATCTCGCGTTGTATAAGTGCGATCGGGTTATGCTTGATGGCGTTAGAAAGATAAGATTTCGTACTAAAAAAAACTTCTGAGACAGTTTTGTGATTGCTTGACTCAGTATTGTTCGAGCGCGCGTCAAAGATGGACATCAGCAAAGAGAAAGTACGCTATATTTTACAGTTTTTCTTCGATAAAAGCGAAAACGCAAGCCAGGCGGCTGAAAATGTGAATAGTGTTTATGGTCCTGATACTGTAACAGCCAATCACGCGCAATTTTGGTTTCGTCGATTTTGTTCCGGTAATTTTGATGTCAAAGATGCACCACGCTCTGGAAGGCCAATTGTCGAAAATGTCGATAAAATAATGGAAATTGTCGAGTCCGACCGTCATGTAAGCACTGTTTCGATTGCCCAGGAGCTAAACATTGCACAAAAAACCGTTTGGAACCATTTGAATAAGGCTGGATACAAAAAGAAGTTCGATGTATGGGTGCCACACGAGTTAACGCAAAAAAATCTCATGAACCGAATTTCCATCTGCGAATCGCTGCTGAATCGCAACAAAATCGACCCATTTCTGAAGCGGATGATGACTGGTGATAAAAAGTGGATTACTTACGACAACGTCAAGCGAAAATGATCGCGGTGAGCCGGCGCAAACGGTGGCCAAGCCAGGATTGACGGTCAGAAAGGTTTTGCTGTGTGTTTGGTGGGATTGGCAGGGAATCATCTACTATGAGCTGCTCCCCTACGGCCAAACTCTTAATTCGGACCTCTACTGTCAACAATTGGACCGTCTGAAGGAAGTAATCGCCCAGAAGCGGCCAGCGTTGGCCAATAGGAGAGGAAGTGTGTTCCATCAGGACAACGCAAGGCCACACACATCGATAGTGACTCGCCAAAAGCTCCGGGAGCTTGGTTGGGAGGTTCTTATGCATCCACCTTATAGTCCGGACCTGGCTCCAAGTGATTACCATCTATTCCTGTCTATGGCGAATGATTTTGCTAATGAAAAATTCGCCTCAAGAGAAGCTTGTGAAAATCGACTGTCTCAGTTTTTTGCCAATAGGGATGAGGGTTTCTATGAGAGGGGCATAATGAAATTACCTTCAAAATGGCAACAAGTTATCGAACAAAACGGTACATATTTGATCTAAATCGGATCATTCTAACCATATTAAATGAAGCCTTCAATTTCATGCAAAAATAATGGATTTCTTTTTACTATTCCTAATATATACCAAATATTTCTTAAATCATCATTATTTATAAAGACTTGTAATATACTTATGAATAAAAAGTAGATTAAATGCCGTCATTTTCAAGCCGATGCTTTAGATTAAAAATAATCGATAACTATTATTATACACCAGATTTTCCGGTTTGAGTTTTAACTCAAACTCTTTGTCTCTCTCTCTCTCTCTCTCTCTGACACGAATTTCTGGCCTTCTTTATTAATTAACCAAACTGTGTACAACAGAATTAATGATAAAAAATTAAATTTCTATCATTACACACGAGATGCATGTGATGTATTCTATTGTTTGATAAAATTCTCACCACAATATTCTCCGCTTTTTTATGCATGTAATAAGTAAGGATAAAACCAACAAATTGATCAAAAATAATTGTAATTAACCAATATCATTAATAGACAGTTATCTTAATATGTGGCTTCGAAAAAATTTAGCAATATTTTAACTTGGTAATCGGAAAATATTTGCACAGCGCATTGAAAGTTTTTACTTCGTTTATCTCATTATTGGCAAACAAGTTATGCCTGACTCATTTTTAATGAAACTCGTAAATAAACAAAGATAAACAAACTGAAAAATTAATTAAACTTGAGGTTATCGATAATATGTGTTAAAAAAAAAACCCGTTGTTCAGAACAGCGTATTTCACGCAAAGTTATAACGAAATTGATATTTCATTCTCCAATCCCTTTCAATCCCTTCCGGGTGATTTCCCTTCTGGGAATTCGAACGGATACACTTTTGATGCTACATAAATATGTATGTTACAAAGGTATCGACTACGTGCGTTCCTATTATCGTCTCCTCTGACATTAACCGATGTCTTTTTTGAGACGCTATCATCAACAGCGCTTCGCCGCAAGCTCCATTATACGCTCTACGTTCCTTCGTACGATATAATTGCATCAATTAACTGTAAGGTAATGTCAGTACGGTTAAACGTCCCGGCGGCATTTCTAAAATTAAACAGCGACGCAATGCCTAAATGTGTATTAACGCAAAGAATATATACTTGTCTTTGATTAGGATTGGACACAGCTAAACTATGCTAACGAAAGTATAAAAAATGTATCTGTATTATTGTACATATATATATATGTGTGTGTATTTTAGCATTGATCTTTGCATTATTTACAATTTACAAATGATGCGTAAGCGTAGCGGAAAGAGAAGGATGAGAATACTATATATATCTCAATTATAATGATAAAATATTATAAAACTAATAAAGAGAGAAACAGGGGACTACGAGCGAATAAATTCGTTAAAATCTTTTAATTTATTCTAATATATTGCGAAGAATATCACGTAATTTTTAACGTTTTGTCCCGGCTTCCACTACTGGACTCATCAGTAAGGTATTGTAATGGAAGCCTACCTTAGACGCCTGAGAGAGTTATTTAGTAGAGATTTTATATAAAGAAATATCAAAGCACTTGCGAGAATTTTGCGAATATCTATAGACCTCTGATGGCGGGTCCACGTAGTAATAAAATATATCATAATACCTACATTTGCTTTCTTCTTCGAAACCTTGCTGTTTAATATGCGATGGCTTTAGGGTACGGATTCGCACTATCGATTTTCCGGCTGCGTGGTCCAACTTCCTTGGAATCAACGATGGCAGCCGAACGCGCATTTGTTCGGCTTCATGAGTAATTTAACGACAGAGATTCAACAAATCCTCTCTCGACACTCCGGCGTGTAAGGTCGTGGTGAAAAACAGATGAACTACACGGAGGTCCAATTCAGTAAGAGCGACTAATTAATTAATCAGATTGTAATACCGGGGCCGAAGTGATAAATTTACAATTAGTGAATTAAGTATGAATGCAAGCTTTCGTTACATTCCAGCTCAATCTATCACTTGAGAAATACATGTTACGTACATGTTGTTATATCGATAAACGTGAGTGCTTATCACAATATCGTTTCCTGTTTGAATACCGCTTCGGTAAACGCAACTGTACCAGAAAAGACAACAAAATCGTATCCCTCAGTTAATTTAATGTAAACTGTTATAAAAATTTTAATCTGAGACGTTGCTGTGGAGAAACATACGTTCTTCAAATTTAGAAAGCGATAATCAATTGTTGCCTGTTATAAAAAAAAATTGACTTGAAAAAACTATGATAAGGCTCAAAGTATTTATCGTTGAGATTTTGTTAGGATTCTCCAAGATTTTGCAGTTAAGATTCGCTTTAGAATATTCTGTGAATTCAATAAATTTGTTGAGTTAAAAGCATTCACAGTAAGGATACACAAAGAGAAATCGGTGCAATATCGCGTGACGCGAAGATAAATCGCGGCGAAGAGGAAGAAGTGGAACAGAACTTAGTTATCTGCGGTTATGATTTTCGGTTGCTTCGCCGTGCGTGTCCGTTTGATATAAGAGGCACTTTAATGAAGTGCGGCGTGTCGGGAACCCCTCGAATTATTATGCGCGATTACTCGCAGCACTGCGGGCTTTCAACCAAATTACGCAACATACATATTTTACTTCCGCCTCGGATATACGATTTTGTAACATATATCTTCCCTTCCTGCTGTGTTCCGATCGCTGCTGTGCACGTACGTACGTGAATGAAAAATAAAACTGTAAGGTTCCGCCACGAATTTTTCACAAACTTCCGCGACGGTCCGAGTCCCGGCTTTGCCGCACTTGTCGTTCGAGTACGTTCACTTCGTGCGGCCTTCAATATTTATCGAAATTTTCGTGACTTCTTCATTCGCGTTTTCGCGAACTTCCGCCCTTCGATTTGTCGTCGTTGGATTATTTCCTTCAACTAGTTACGTGCACTTTAACCATATTGTGTGAAAGCACGTAAATGCCACAGTCGCCGCACGTTCGCATTAATAAAAGTATACTTAGAAAATATGCCCGAGTCTATACTGAGGGTAGGCGAATAAAATTGGAACAGAAATGATAAAAAAGGAACAAAATGCAACGAGACTTTTCGTATGCCGAGAACAGTATCATTTTGTATGCACGAACGTGACCGCGTGGTTAATGATGACTGCCATTTTCTTTCCGGAAATATCGTTTGCCGTGCATAGCAAACTATTATAATCAATTTGAATTCGATAATACACTCATATCTTGCTATATGAAAACATGAGCGCCATTCTTACGCAATGTCACATAACAATTTTTTATGTTATTTACATTATTATAATGTTATCGTTTTTTCTTTTATAGCGAGCTTCTCATATATGCTATAATGATCTTATATATGTATAATAAATCCTTTACATATAACAGCAATGTTAGGTCGTATAATAATATATTTATCATGTTTATCGTACCTCTCTTATAGATCGTAGATAATAGCATTTAACGTGGCGTATTTCAGATCACGCAATTTTTAGTCAACCCACAGCATATTTACGAGAGCAGGTGACTGCGCGTGTCACGTAGCCGTTTTCTTTAGCGGTTGAGTCGTTCCCTAAGTCCTTGAAAGGAATTCTCTTTTATTTGAAAATCAATCTACTTGTAGATGCGGAACATTGAGAACGACCTAACGTCGCGCCCCTTCGTTTCGGCAACGCATTTCCCTGGATCGTTCTGTCGAGCGTTGAGAGCAACCATATATTTTTTTTATTTGCTATTACGACGATACGTTACGGTGAAACGTTCCTTTCGTGAGAGTCAACACGTATAATTGAAACTTACTGAATGTTGCATGAGAATACAATTGAATGTTATCGGTGCGTTTAAAAATATCGATGTTTGCATTTAACATTGTCAACCTGTTTAATGAATGAACGACGTTCCTATATAGGGTTTTACAATCAGCCCAGTGCTGGTTACTGGTTGCTATTGCAGTTCAGTCCTGGCAAACTAGTAGCGCAATATACTAGTTAAGTACCGAATGATAACTTAAACCTAGCACTGGTATATGGTATTAGTCGTTTTAGCCAGTTCTTTGCTAGTGCTGGTTGATAGATCTTTGACCGTCATTTGACTTGACAGCCAATCATGAGATGAGACTCATTACTAGTTGACAGTTGTCACGTTAGTTAAATGTTGGTTTTGTTGTAACTGTTGGGTGCCTTATATGGAATTTCTGGCTATGCGATTGATTCGCTAAATATAATATACGGATAGATTTCAGCGCAAACATTTGGTCGCCCGATCGATTAAGGAAGAGCAGTTTTCGGCAATTACATAGATTTGCTAGAGGCAATGCGCGTTACGAGAAACCATCCGAAAAGAGAAGAAATACTCTGCGAGAAAACAAAACAAAAAAACAGTTCGTGCTAACGTATAACGCAATAAATTCCGTGACTTATTGTTATTCACGAAATTGTTCATATTCTCGCGGGGAAAGCGTAGTAAACGGAAACGTGCGCAGCAAAGTTTGAGGCTTCTCTTCCTTTTCTATTTCTTTTCTTTCTTTTTTTTTTTTTTTTTCAAAATGCCCTAGTTTCTGGGTAATATTTATAGCGATATAAAGCAGCGCACAAGTTTCGGAGCCAAATCGAGCACGAACTCGACTCTCGAACTGCTTTTTATCCAACTGTAACTTTTGCTCGCGACCCGACTGCCCTTCCATCGAGGAACCCTCCCTTTCTATTCCATTCCTCTTTTATTCTCCCTCCTTTCTTTTCTTTCTCAATGTGTTTGCCTTTTCGCTTGCTCCTTCACTGAGTCTTACGGACCCGGAAGAACATCGGGATGTTTGAACTTTCACGCCACGTAAGCGATCTGGTATAAAAGTTTATTTGTAAACTCTCGGCCTTTCTACCGAAAACCACTTACAGCCATTTGGTATCATCACAATGAACGATCGAAGAATAGAACATAGAGCTTAAGGCACACTCCGTATATACAAAGTAATAAATTTGCGTTGAAGAGAGAGATGGGTGCTTATTTCAGGCGTT